AATTGTAATTAAAATCATATATATTTGTAACAAAAATTAATGTTTGGCTAGAAGTTTATCGAATTACTTTGTTTCAAAGAGTTCATACGTAATTGTGGTATAGACAATAATTAATGCTAGCAATGCAGCTCGTGTCATCTGGCCAGTGTCAATTATCAGGGCCATGAGAGGCTTGTAGAGGTTGTGATAGCCATCTATGTTTCCTAAGACTCATCTCGAGGTAGATAACCTTTTGTGGATGATCCAATCTCCTAATTCCTTTCTCTCCATCTAGAAAAGAAGATTGTGATTTTCTTTGTATCAAGAAAAATCAACCTATTTATTTGGGTCTTTTTAGTAAATAGGCGCTGATAAGTGTGTTGTATTTAGTGCCCCAATGGCCTTTACTTGATAGTTCCAGGAAGTACAAATTACATAATTATCTCACAATATTTATTGATTAATGAACCGTTAACAAATAATTTTAGCTGTATGGAAACGTCACCGTTCGTTGATTTGCGTTCAGAACTTATATTCTCTCTTATTCTGGCATAACATTTCCTCATCTTTTAACACCTGTCATTCCAGTTACTTGCACAGTTAAAAAAATAAACATAAACCTGTTTGTCTGTGGAAATGTTTTGCACCACGGCACTTTTGTCTTGGGATATAGAGAGGTCACCATCCTCTAGTAAAGCTTTTACCATGTGTTTGCTGTAAGATACGATGCTGCAAACTGCACATCTTTTCAATGAGAATAAAAGTTACAATATAATTTGATTTTCATTGTATTAAGTCTATGACAATATTCACGACCTCACGAGGCAAAGGTAGATTATTGATTCTCTGAGCTACGACCTGCCAAACTCCCATTCCGCTGAAAAATTCAGAGCACATCAAAAGATGTTATGCTCAACTCTGTGCTCGGTGCAGTAGTGGTGGTGGAGTGCTCCTCCAGATTGCGCACTATGGCCGTCCCTGTGGTGATCGTCATCTCTTTGGTGGTAGTGCGGGTTATTGTGGGCAGTGCAAGAGTCGATGAAGCATCGCGGTTTTCGTCAGCAGCCGAATCTGTGACACGAACACGATTAATGTGTAAGGAATAAAAATCGGTGGTTGAGGTTTTGGGGTTTTTAGGGAAGGGAAAGGGGCCCGGAAAGAGGGGGACTTCCCTTGCCGCTTAAGAAGCAACCGTGGGATGATACCTGAATTCCCTCCTACCCTCCCTTCAGCGATTACAGTTGACAAAACAACCACTCAAACATATCAAAAATGTACTTGAAGGATTCATCCTCAAATTTTACCCTTGCACACGGATACGATGGTCTTCACCACCTCTGTGCGCGTTGGAGTCTTAGTTGTGACAACGGTCACTGTTGTCGTAGCACGGGAGTGACCAGTTGAAGAGCTGCTCGTGTCAGACTTCTCGGTTCGCACTTGGTCCGTCACGTCCGGGTTGATCACGATGCTCTCATCTGCCTTAGAAAGCGATAGCGTTGCCTCGCCAGGCCCACCAGGCTCAGACATTATTCTGCGGTCCTCCGAATCAACAATCTAACCGATCTACCCCTACCCCTGCCCTTGCCTCCCCAGCTCGGAAGCCTCGGCAGACAGGGACAAACAATGGGTAACGAAATTAAAATTGTTTCAAAATGGTTTCCAATTCAATCGTGTGACCGGGGGACCGGGGCTGTCAAAATAAGATAGGGTTTGGCCGACCGACCGACCGTCAACCTCGGAACGACCAGGACAACTGAAATATCGTGTTCAGGGGTTTTCTCGCACGCTGAGTCCAAATCTGGTAGTGCCGATGTCGTCCGGGTCGGGCCCCCGGGGACGTCATTTGGGACCTCCCGAGCACGCCGATGACACTCCCACGACAAATACGA